AATGAGCACATCTGATCATCATCCTTAATCCAAACATATGGCTTGGAGTCATTACTCCCACAAAAGCCTGCCCAAAATTAGCTACTGATGCTTTACAGGCAACAGCTGTTAGCAACAAGGCCCCAGCATCTGGGGCTCAAAAGCATTGTTGGTCTGTGGGGGGTTACAAATGAAATCGTGACTGTAAGGTTGAGACCAGGCCAGGGCTTGCAGAATGAACCCGCTGCCAGCACCCATCTGGGCAGGGGTCAGGCAGCAGAGGTACAGTCAGACAACAGATTTCCAAGGAAGATTCCGGGTTTCCACTTTCCAAAGCACACCCGCGATGCCATCGCACCTTTCAGCCATGTCCCATTGGTGCAGTATGACCAAGGAGGGTGGCCGGAGGGTTACAGAGGCACAGAAATGCTCGCTTGAGCCATTTATTGCAATCATTTACTGTACTCTGCTCGGTGCTTTGGCTCTCCTTGTCACTCTTGGAAAAAGCCCTTGACCCTGCACAGGCCTTGTACCAGCCCCAGGTAGCTCTAATTTCTCCTAAGTCCAGGATTTCTGGCCAGCTGACAAAGTAGGTAGTAGACCTCTTGTTTCCAGAGGCATGATGACTCCTTCTCCTCTTACCCGCAGGTGCCTGCTGTCTCACTGCTTCGCAGGGTGCCCCAGGAGGCCAGTGCTGTGAAAGCCTCTCTCAGCGGATCAGTTCAGCCTCTGCGTTGTAACTTCCCATCTAATAAATCACACATCCATCTCTGTCATTCTTTTAAAAATTAATCTCCCCTCCATTTGAAATATAGTTGACTTCTACATAGAGAGACAAAACATACTAGATTGTCTGCTGTGAAATGTGCTGGAGGAAAAACTGTAGAAAACTCATTTGTCCGAGATGAAAAAAACCCCTTAGAGCTCTGGGGCTGGGGCCAGCAGAGCTCGGCTCTTGCAGAGCAGACCCTGAAGCTGGAGCAGAGGCTGCCCAAGGTTGCGTGTTCATCAGGGAATATCCATGTCTCCTTTCTTGCTTGTGGAGCAGCCAGGACTGCTGTCTTTGAGAGCAGATTTAGGTGGCAGTTTATGTTAATCTTGAATTATTAATTAATATCTTGAATACTTTCTATTAGCCAATGGAAATTATTATCATTTAGCTGCAGAGTGCCTCTGTGAGCCATGAACAGGAAACTAATTCACAGTGAACCGTGCTTGTCTCACAGGTATCTTGTTCCAGCCAAACCTCCCACCGTAAGAAATGCAAAGGGTACGAGAGGCACTGGGGCTTTTGGCCCTCCACATGCAGCTCTACAGCCATCTGGGTGCTTCAGCTGTGGTTTGGGGGCTGAAACCAAAGCAATCAAGTAAGTACTTTTTCTGCATGGGGACAGGTGGTGAACTCTTAGGGAAAAAACCAAACTGAATGAGCTTCTGATCTGAAGGCCAAGGTGAAGCAAGATCAGCCTTTTTCCTTAAGGTCACAGCCCTTCCATAAGAGCAGGTCTCCACCCTGCCCGAAGAACCCAAGGAATTTTTCGTAGTGCTTTTTTCTCCCTTTACTCTCAGGGCAGCGTCACCCACCCGCCCGACAGCCGCCACCTGTCCCCGCAGGCTCTGTGGCTGTAGGGGCTCACCTGCTCCTGCTGCTGATGCCCCCCCAGCTGCCAGCCAAAGACAAGACAGCTTATTCACAGGGTACCTCCAGGCAGGATCAGAACCAGCAGAGATTTTTCTTAATTTGGGCAGAGGGCTTGACAGAAGCACACACTTGCCCTACGATGAGTCGTCTTTGGAGGGCAATGCCTAGTTCTAAATTTTAATCAAGTACTGTTGGAATTGCCGTATGGCAATGAAGCCCAACACCGGTATTGCTTCTGCGACAGCTTATTCACAGGGTACCTCCAGGCAGGATCAGAACCAGCAGAGATTTTTCTTAATTTGGGCAGAGGGCTTGACAGAAGCACACACTTGCCCTACGATGAGTCGTCTTTGGAGGGCAATGCCTAGTTCTAAATTTTAATCAAGTACTGTTGGAATTGCCGTATGGCAATGAAGCCCAACACCGGTATTGCTTCTGCTATTTAGACGTTGGGAACCGTGTCTTTCACGCATGAAACGTTTTTTAAAAAAATGCAAGATGGGATTGTATTGTGGTGAAAGGGTTTTTACTTCATTTGCAATATGAAGTCCATATTCTGGAATATGAGGTCCAGGGCCATTCAGGCTCTGCAGTAGTTCTAGATTTCTGAGACAGTTCATACAATTCCACTAGTTTTGACGGAAAAGCAGCTGTCTCCTTACCAGTTATTTCCATTCGTGTTTGAAAATCGTTTTCTGGTTCCATACAAATATCATTGTGGAACTCCGTAACTGGCAGGACTGTTTCCAGGTGAAGAGTAAGCTGTGGATCATCTCAATGGAAAACATCTCCCAAACTTACTGGCTCTAGCATGCCGTGCACCAGTAGATTTCACTCCTTTCTGATGTTTACTGCTAGCGAAATTCACACCACAGTCTGCATGAAGCAATCCATCTTCTGAGCAACCACAGTAAACATCTAAAAACTAAAAGAAAATTACTCCACATGAGCTAGGCGAGTCCCGTGCTGCCAGGTCCATTTCCCACCAAAGGAATCACCAAGATCTGTCTGGGTGGGACATTTCCCGCTGACTTCCAGGGCACAAAACTCACTGCCACAAGGGCAGGCAAACGCAAAGCCAGGACGCTGGAGAGCGTTTTAGCAAGGAGAGAACAACGCCCGGTGGCACTTTGCAGGAGACACTATCACTGTTACCGATTCATAAATCACTCCACACATCTTTTTATGTAACTTCTACTTCGCAACAGAAGCCTGTTAACAGCTTTTTAAATACTGCTTCAGAAAAAAAATAGTGGATGAGTACTCGAGAAGGCCTCTCCTCAGGAAAAAAAAATGTTTTTTTCTTTAAAAAACACTATAGGCTGTGTTTTTTTCTAATACAGAAAGGCAACTCGACATCATCATTTACAACCAGTCATCAATAGGCAAGAAAAAAATGGCAGAGTGAAATATACTTGGAAACCATACTTGTGTATTTTAAAGCACCAATAACAAAATGCTGGGCTAATGGTTCAAATCAGGAGAAGCCTGTGCAGTGTAAAGCCAAACACCCTCTGCCTCGTACCCTCCTCTTCCTCATCACCCCATCAAAACAGCACCTTGGTATGAAAGAATGCACGTCTCTGTCTCCTCTTCGCACCACAGCTGCCAAGGATACTGAATGCTGCTCTGATGCAATTACATCTGCTCCTCCTTGGGCCTCTTTTTAGCCCCAAGTTTTTAAAAAATGTTTTACACAATTTGCTAGAACAAAACCAAATCTTTGTCTGAATCACTTTTCGTTGTCCAGTGTGACTTATGCAGATGTTTCCTAGGTAAGGTTTGCTTTGTTGAAAATAAAGAACATTTATTTAAGCTAACAAGATGACTACATAATGAAGTATCAGAAACACACAGACCTGAAATGTAGGTCACTCTTTCTTTAGGGTGCCCTCACTATTAAGCAAATCCCGGTAAGAGAAAACTTTTACACAGGCAGAAGACTATCTGAAATGATCTATTTGCCAAGGCTTCTACTGTCAAATTAAGACCTCCAAATAACATGAATAAATGAACGTTTCATAGTTAGTTGTAAATGAATGCAAAATACTTGAAAAACCTCTTCATCAGTAAGACACATCGTTGGCCATGAATGCTGCAATAGCAACGCTTACGTATGTGGGGCATCAACTGCACACTCTAGGTGCATTTTTGTGTCAAAACCAAACACGCCTCCCGCCCTCATCCATCACAGCACAGCATTTACCCATGTAGCTTTTCTCCTTTCCTTGTTACATTTGGAAATCCATCAGGTTCAACTGACCGTTGCAATTTCTTGGACAATGAAATCTTTCTTTTCTGCCACAATCCAAATTTTAGAGCGATGTACAGCACATGGGAGCCTTTCACCAGAGCAACAAACGGGCACTGGCACTCCAGCTAAGGCTCAATAATCCAAAACATGTCTCCTTCCAGAGAGAGCAGCACAATCAAGTACTTCTGAATTCAGTATCCCAGCACCTTAACCCCGGCGTGATTTCATAAAGACTGTTATCAAAAGAAAAATGTTCCAATGAACTTAAATGAAACCTCTGATCATCAGCCGTATAAGCTCTAAATCAGGAGGCAAGGAGAGAGCATAACACCAAGCTGGGCCAAGTTTTATGGTAGCCCCTTATTCAGAGCAGTTAGCTCCAGTCCTGCAGCTCAGATGAGGAGACACGTTTTAATACCAGTACCCAACCCTTTGCTGAACTTTGTTGTGCATTTCTGCCACAACAGAATTGTGGGAATAAAAAACTACAAGACTTGTCAGGGAACAGGACAATGTGCTCAGAACTTGCCCCAGCCCCTTCCTCCTTCCTAATGAGTTCGTTGAACTGAAGCTTGTTGCAAAATACCAAATACTCCCCACTGCGACTGAAGGGCAATGATCTGCAGCAAGTGCCTGGCAGGCAGAGAACACTGCTGGAGTCGGCCATTAACAACTCGCAGTTCCTTTCACTGCTCTCCTTCCAGGACAAAGGCCAAAGAATACACAACACAGCACAACCCAGTAGTTTCTTAAAGGCCTGTGTGATGTAGTACTGACTACCTCACTTCACCTGCAAAATCACCTCCATACAGCACGATGGATCAGCCTTCCAGCTTTAGGAGCCTCGCTGCATTTGCAAAGTCTTCCAAAAAACTGCTGTAGTATCAACCCAAGTTAAACCTAACTCAAGGCAAATAATCACTTTTTCAGAGATTAAAATTAGTCTTGAGATTGCTTGACTTTTCTGCTTTTACATGGTACTAGCTTGTAACGGCATTGCCAAGCACACAGTATTAATTGTCCATTTAACAAGAAAGCCACTAGTGCTCAAGATCCAAAGCAGCAACTGGTGCTGAGAATACCAAGTTTTGTTCCCAGTGTGAACAAACAAGTCAGTGACACGACTCATTCTTAACACTTTTATTCTTACAGTTCTAGGTTTGAACTGTACATGCAGAGTTGCATAAGTCACAATAGAGATTTACAGTGGATTCTATTCTATGGTAGAGTGCAATCCAGAATCCTTAAACAGTATAAAAAACAACTTTAAACATCAAGACCTTGTTAGGAGCAGAAGAGTTAAAGCTTCCCCAAGTATTTCAGCTCTCCAAGATACCTAGTTACTAGGTACTGTATGTTAGACGTATTTAGAGTTGAAGAGCTGTAGTAACACTAAACAAACTTGAACATCCTGATGTCATACCATCTTTGTTACTTCTTTCCCACATTTCTGGCAATTAAGAATAAGTCAAAAACCCTGCCACCTGCAACCAGCTAATACAGACAAAAATAACCACTCCTTACTTGCCTGTTTAGGGTTGTACAGTGTTAAAGAAAATATTCCCTCAATGGCATTTGTATCTCACATCAGCTGAAAAAGCAATGTAACAAAAATAAAGGTATAACATCTTTGAAAATAAATATAAAGAGGGAATGCAGACAAAGTGTCAGATTTTTTTTTTTGGCAGGTAACATTCATAATATACAAAATATAACTTATTCGTATTAGCCAAGGAAACATTCATGAGTTCCTGTAAACGGTTTTAATCCACCTCCTCCATGCGTGATGTGTCATCATCTCCTTCAAGAGGCGGCATCTCCTCAGTAACTGCTGGACTAGCTTCTTCTGCAGCAGTATCATCTTCATCAATGCCTGTACAGGGAACACGCGTACCATTAATGCCAAGAGCAGAACCCGAACCTTTCTTCTCCTTAGCACTTCAGCTGATCCAAGGGCTCCCCTTTTCCTCAAGTACAAAACAGCATCAAGGTGATCTCCAGACACCCAGTACTCTGCAAGGGCACGTAACCACACCCAGAGTTTGCTGGGGACAGGACAGATTGCTAACTTACCCAGGCCAAGTTTGATCATTCTGTAAATGCGGTTGGCATGCGTCTGAGGATCTTCTAAACTGAAGCCAGAGGACAGGAGAGCTGTCTCATACAGCAAGATGACAAGATCCTTCACGGACTTGTCGTTCTTATCAGCCTCTGCTTTCTGCCTCAGTGTTTCAATGATGGAATGATCAGGATTAATCTCCAGATGTTTCTTTGCTGCCATGTATCCCATTGTAGAGTTGTCTCTCAGTGCCTGCGCTTTCATGATCCTTTCCATATTGGCAGTCCAGCCATACGTACTTGTTACAATACAGCATGGAGAAGTAACTAAACGATTAGACACAACCACCTAGAAAAGGGAATGCAAAGCAAGAGTTGCTCATTTAACATTTCAACACATACACTTGATTTATTATCCCCACTGATTTAACAAATGTTCAACTTTGAAATGCTGCTGGACAGTATGAAGAGCTAAGACTTATGAGCTAGAGCTCCAGAATTTACAACACCGACTCAAGAGAACCAGTCAGCTTCACTAAAAAACAAAACAAAAGACACTTGGTATCTATAAAGTTGTAGCTTGCAGAGATTGCCCTTTCAGAAAGGCCAACTGTAACAGACATTGCTATCTGAGCCTTCTCTGCAGCAACTTCATTTCAGATCATTAATCTTGTTACACATAGACAAACCGAGTACTACTAATTACCTTTTCTACTTTCTTTTCAAGGATATCTTTCATTATTTTGCAAAGGTTTTCAAACTTGGCTTTCTTCTCCTCCTGTTTCTTTTTCTCTTCCTCATCTTCTGGAAGCTCCAAACCCTCTTTTGTTACAGAAACGAGGGTCTTGCCTTCAAATTCCTTCAGCTGCTGCACACAGTACTCATCAATAGGCTCAATCATGTAGATCACTTCCAGGCCGTGTTTGCGAAGACGCTCCACAAAAGCGGAGTTGGCCACCTGATCTTTTGTTTCACCTGCAAGAAGAATGCCACAGTTGTGGTTTGAGCCTCAGCACTGGAATGTGGCAGCTTATTTTCTGAAGAGACTAACTATATGCAACACTTGCAATGATGCTTCATGCCCTTACCAGAGGAAAAAAGGGGCACAAAACAGGTATGACAAGCTACTGCAAAGATTAGGCTGGTCTGAAGAGACTCAAGCTTTTCAAACTGATACCACAGCTTGTAACACTTCACTGGTTTGAAAGTATGTTTCCTGAAATACCAGGAAAGAAGTATTTCCCATTCCTGCCAAGGAAGAAAACTGAGGGGCCCTGTACAGCATTTACCTTTTGCAAAAGAAAAAGCCTTAGTATCTGATGCCCAAATAGTTAAACAACTGGTTGGAGCATTAGGTCTTAAAAATTCAGATGCTCCTGGCCAAATTTATTAGCTAAAGCCTGAACACAAAGTTGTCTTAAAATGCACCTCAAAGACACTGTAAAGCATACTTTCTGGGATTACAGTGAGCAAAACAGTGGGTAGGCTAGCTGTGCAAGGGGCACTTTATTATCTGCAGCTAGTTCCGCTGTCCTCATGGACATAGTACCCTATTAAAGAACTGTAAGTACCATACCCAAGTATGACAGGCATTTCCCGCACAATGCAGTTCCCTCATCTTTCTAAATTCACCACGAGAACTGCCATGGTTGTGTTCAGTTTTCTGATCCCAGAAAGATATCCCTACATATGTACCTGCATTTAGAGACAATTTCTGTTATCAACTCACCAGTAATGTAGTAGACATGTTTCTGGTTTTCCTTCATCCGAGTGCAGTAGTCCTTCAGAGAAACCATTTCATCACCAGATGCAGATGTGTAATACCTCAGTAATTCTGACAGCTTCTTGCGGTTCTGGGAGTCTTCATGGATACCAAGCTACAAAAGTAAAAGTAAAAACTAGTAAGTGATTCCTTTAGATAAATACTAAACTGTTGTAATTTACTATTTCAGGCCTAACAAAATCTGTAGGTTCTACTATCAGTATTACAAAGCAGAAAGACTACAAACCTTGATGTTCTTGGAGAACTGCTCATAAAACTTTTTGTAATTCTCTTTGTCTTCAGCCAACTCAGTGAAAAGTTCTAGGCACTTCTTCACTAAGTTCTTCCGGATCACTTTCAAGATCTTGCTCTGCTGCAGCATTTCACGAGAAATATTCAGAGGTAAATCCTCAGAGTCCACCACACCTCTCATGAAATCTGGAAAGTGACAGTGAGAATTAGCTTTGCAGGTCTCAAAGAAAACAGACTACCAGTCACCACCTAAGTGGCTTTGCCCTTTTAAAACTATGAACTGGTCTCTACAGAACTCTGGACAACACAAACTAAGCAGTACTTTCAACTGCTCAGATACTTTCTGATCAGCTCAATCTTTCCCCCTCCCAAATTTGTTCAAATATGAAGGGCTACTACAGAATGGCCAAGCAGTTTCTTTAACATTTTGGGAAACATTGTCCTCAATATACTCACTCAGATATTCAGGAATCAGTTCCTCACAGTTGTCCATGATGAAAACTCTGCGTACATACAGCTTGATGTTGTTCTTCTTCTTCCTGTTTTCAAACAGATCGAAGGGTGCACGCCGTGGGACAAACAGGAGAGCTCTGAATTCCAACTGCCCTTCCACAGAGAAGTGCTGTGAAGAGAACAAGATCATCAGTTTTAGTCATTCTGCACAGTTCTCACTTTAGTAACCATTTAATAGGTCTTCAAATGCAGAAGGCAAGCAGCAACCATCTGAGATTTCAGAAAAAACACAGTAGGCATGACCCTGGTCAGGAACAAACACGTTCTCCAGACATATCCAAGTTCTGTTCAGCTGTTACCAGGCAAGCAGACCCATTCAGAAGACATATTCGTTCTCTGTGCTATATACTGAACTTTAGGAAGTGTATGTATACTTACAGCACTTCCCACTATAGACACACAAAAAGGACAATTACGTCTCACTTACCCATCCCCTTTAAGCTGTAGGCCTTTTCAAAACTAAGCTACAAACCTAAATAACTCAATTTGTATTTATCTGAAATCTACTTTTCAATTTTTCAATTAGACTTGCTAACAACTAAGCTACAGACTGGGAAGGCATCTGCACTTAAATCTATAGTAAATTCAAGTAAGATTATAAGCACAGCCTTAACAGTAGGCAGAAAAATTATAGCACAAAGTGCCACCCTCACATAGTGAGGCACTTGGAACAGTATCACTCCAAATACTAAGCAACTTATCACAGTAAAATCTGGGACAACGTCTCACAGTTTAGCAGCATGTTTAGCAAGCTTCCAGCTTTTGTGGCAAATATGATTATGCCTGAAGACAGACAAGAACGTACTTTGACAGCCAAGTGGTCTTCCCAGTCATTCGTTAGACTCTTGTAGAATTCCCCATATTCCTCATTAGTTATGTCATCTGGGTTCCTGGTCCAAATGGGCTTGGTCTTGTTGAGCTCTTCCTGATCAATATACTTCTCCTTAATCTTCTTTTTCTTCTTCTTGTCTCCATCCTTCTTTTCTTCCTCTTCATCAGAGCCAACATCCTCTATCTCTGGTTTATCTTCTGTCTTTTCCTCCTTCTCTTCTTTTTCCTCTTCCTTTTCCTCAGCCTCATCATCACTCACTTCCTTATCACGTTCCTTCTCCACCTAGAAAAGTTATCATTAGTTGATTTGAGAAACCTGGAAGTTTTATTAATAAAGAGCCCTAAAGTATTCCTTGTAGTCTCACAAAGCTGGAAACTACACGAACATGCTGTCGTTTTCCTCCTAGACTCAACCAAGGACTCACATTCTGGGTGCTGAAACACAAGTGGTGTTTTGTTTCCACATGGTTATGTTAGTCCACGCTATTTAGTTACATTAGACTGAATTACCATTAACAATGCATCAACATGCAGTTAATTTTCTCAATGGTTTGGAGACTGTGATACTACTACCTTGGTAAAATACATTTTTTACTTAGTCTTGGGAAATAATCTTGTTATTAATAGTCTTGCAAAATAAAGTTGTAATTAACAGAATTAAGTTTCCCAGGAGCGACATCCACGTAACATCTGTATCAATTTTAATTAACAAAATACACATGGACTGCTCTTTCATTAAATCTCAAAAACTCACTAGTTTTAAGGTGGCAATACTTAATTACTTAGTATTTCAAGCAAAGTACGTACAAAGAGTGTAATAGGATAGCCAATGAACTGAGAATGCTTTTTCACAATTTCCTTGATTCGCCGTTCTTCCAGGTATTCAGTTTGATCTTCTTTAAGATGCAGGATGACTTTTGTTCCACGACCCAAAGGTTCACCTAGAATGGAGTTTACAGGTTTTACTTGTGCAGCACCATACTAGACTTCGACCAATTATAAAACATTTTCTTTGAAAAGGCACTGCTGTATCGGTAGTTTCTTCAGCACTGGAAAAACGTAAGCTTCTGTGCACACAAAGTCTCATAGACACTTCCTCAAGCTTACTGTACCCAGCATGTATTTCAAGTAAGCTTAGGAAGATTTTCACAAATTATTCTGTTCGCATGTTATCTTTCAAGTTCCTGTACTAGCCTAGTTGCAGGAGAGTATTTCCATGTACAAGGTTTCAATGCTTAGTCTTCATCATAATGCCCCGTTTATTTAGACATTCCCTTATTATATATCAAGGCCCACTTGAACTGGAACGGCAGCAGAACTCCTGTGCCCGATCTGGCACATGACTAGTACTACCCATCTGACCTCTCCTTTTTGTCTTCAATGCACAGGCTAGGCATCTGAATGCTAGAGAACTTCAGAAAGTATACTTGAGCAGAAACATTTACTACTCACCGTTATCCAGTCTGACAGTGAAAGATCCTCCAGCTGATGACTCCCAAGCATACTGCTC